GTGATAGTGCCCCTGTACTCGGCATTGGTGAGGCCGCACCTTGAGTACTGTGTTCAGTTTTGGGCCCCTCACTACAAGAAGGACATCGAGGTGCTGGAGCGTGTTCAAAGAAGGGCAACGAAGTTGGTGAAGGGTCTAGAGAACAAGTCTTATGAGAAGCAGCTGATGGAGCTGGGGTTGTTCAGTCTGGAGAAGAGGAGGCTGAGGGGAGACCTTATTGCTCTCTACAGCTACCTGAAAAGAGGTTGTAGCGAGGTGGGGGTCAGTCTTTTCTCCCAAGTAACAAGTGATAGGACGAGAGGAAATGGCCTCAAGCTGCACCGGGGGAAGTTTAGGTTGGATATTAGGAAAAACTTCTTCACTGAAAGGGTAGTCAGGCATTGGACCAGGCTGCCCAGGGAAGTGGTTGAGTCTCCATCTCTGGTGGTTTAGTGATGGACTTGGCAGTGATAGGTTAATGGTTGGACTTGATCTTAAGGGTCTTTTCCAACCTTAATGATTCTATGATTCTCTATTAATAAACTTGTGCTGTGATCTGTAAAGTGTAGATGTAAAGCTTGAAAATTATGCAGGAAGTGCAACTTGTGATACGTTCCTTTTTTCTGAGTTTGCTAATGTACTAAGTTGGCTTGGGATGTTGTTGCATGTTGAAGGGGAAGCATGCTGACCTTACGTTTACTGTCTGTATTTAATTTATAAAGTTCCATAACTTCTGAAAAATGAGATTTTGAAGATGATGGTAGATAACTGTTCTCTGTCTGTAGTTTACAGACTGGTAATAGCAACAAAAAGATAAATATTTGGTATGTAGACTTTGTATAGACTAATGGAATGGAAGACCTGCACAAAAGATTTTAAAAAGGCATAGTGACACAGCACAACTCTATTATGGGTAACAAGGGAGAAGAGGCTTTGCCCAGAAGAAATAAAATAGTAAGACATAGTTATTGTCTTCTAGAGAATTATTTTCAGTTTTGTAGTTTATTTGTGGACTTTAGGGTTTTTTTCTTTTTTGCAATGTTTCATGTCTTTATTTCGCACTAGGCAGTGCAAACCTCACAGAAGAAACTATGCAAAGATTGTAGGGGCAGCTTACATTGCCATGACTGGTGCTGTCATACTTGAGCTAGCTTAGCCAGCTAGCTTTTTACTGCCTCGTTGATCTGCAGTCACAACAGCAGTTATAAATCTATGCCAATCTGCAATCCACTGCAGTTCCTTAACTTGCTTAGGGTTGTTCTTGGGTTTCTCTGTGGAGAACTGAATTTTGGAACTCCCAATCTACATATTGTTAAGGTACAGGGAAGTACAAGTCTTACCTGGTCTTCACCTTTGTGCCACTTTTACATAGGTTTAAACTTTACCACATAAAATAAAGCAAGATTAACATCTGAATGCTCTGCAGAAGAATCTTTACAGCTCTACTGTTTTAACGTGGGCCCACTTGCAAATCATACTTTGTGTCAGCTGATGCAATAAAATTGTTAAAAGTGGCCTGTAATGTAATATGTTCCAGTTTTTAATTTAGACCCAAAAGATATTCCATTTAAGATTCTCGACATTGTATTCTGTTTGTATGACTGGTTAAAATGAAAAATTTTGTCACAATTCTAGGAGTGACATTTATGTATTTAATCCTATTTGGTCAACTAAACATCAGTCTCCAAGTAGCCCCTATCCAATTGATGCATCAGGATGAAAGCAAGTGTTACTTTAATTTTAAAGGAAGGTGCAATTGAATTCTTAATCTATTCCTCTTAAAAAGCTAATGGTTTAAAACCAAAACAAACAAAAAACCCAAACTGTGGAATTTAGAGTTGAAGTCTGTAGAATGCTGTTTGAACCAATACAGATGGTATAATAATGGAACCAATTTTTCCTCTGTGTCAACTTTTTCTCCTTGCACACTTTAAGGGTGAAAATTTTAGGACAGAACTTTCCCAAGACCTTGTTCTCTCCTTGATGGTTTTTTTTTTTTCCTTGCTTGTTGACTCTCATGCTGTGGTGGGTTGACCTTGGCTGGCCACCAGGTGCCCACCAAGATGCATTCTCACTCCCTCTCCTCAGCAGGATGGGGGGAGAAAATATGATGAAAAAGCTTGTGAGTCAAGATAAGGACAGGGAGATCACTCACCAGTTACTGTCACTGGCAAAACAGAGTCGACTTGGGGAAGATTAGCTTAATTTATTGTCAATGAATAATAGAGTAGGATAGTGAGAAATAAAAACAAAACTATAACCACCTTCACCCTTTCTTTCCAGGCTCAGTTTCACTTCTGACTCTTCTACCTCCTTCCCCTGAGCGGTGCAGGGGGTTGCAGTCAGTTCATAACACTTCATCTCTGCCATTGCTTCCTCCTCATGCTGTTCCTGTGCTCCATTGTGGGGTCCCTCCCGTGCAGTGGGATACAGTCTGTCACAAACTTCTTCAATGCAGGCCTTTCCCCTGGGCTACAGTTCCTCAAGAACTGCTCCAGCATGGGTCTATCCCATGCGTTGCAGTCCTTCCAGCATGGCCCCCCACACAGGATCACAGCTCCTGCCAGAAAACCTGCTCCTGCATGGGCTCCTCTCCATTAGCCACAGCTCCTGCCAGGAGCCCGTTCCAGCATGGACTTTCCACAAGCTCCAGCTTCCTTCAGGGCATCTCTGCCGGGTGTGGGGTCCTCCACAGGCTGCAGTGTGGATATCTGTTCCACTGTGGTATTCCATGGGCTGCAGGGGGACAACCTTCTTCATCATGGTCTTCTCCATGGGCTGTGAGGGAATCTCTGCTCCAGTGCTTGGAGCATATCCTGCCCCTCCCTCTTCACTGACCTTGTTGTCTGCAAGGTTGTTTATCTTGCATTTTTCTCACTCGTCTCTCTCATAGTTGCTGCACAGTGTTTTTACCCTGTCTTAAATATGGTACCACAGAGGTGCCACCAGTGTTGCTGATGGGCTCAGCTTTGGGCAGCAGCAGGTCTGTTTTGGAACTGGCTGAAACTGGCCATCAGAAATGGGGGCAGCTTCTGATCTCTTCTCAGAAGGGCCACCCCTGCAGCCCCCTGCTACCAAAACCATGCCATGTAAACCCAATACGCATGCACATTTAAGTAGAGTCAAACCTCACCCTCTCTCCCAGTATCCCTTGTAATTTACTGGTTTTGCATATACTTAATCTGCAAAATCCCTCCAGAATAAACAAATCCTGACCCAAAAGTATAATGTATTGCATCCGTTATTCTAGAATGTGTTTTGTGGGCTTTCTTTAGATAGTAACTCGTTACCTGTATATATGGGTTTGTTTTGCATTTTGCAATGATTAAGAACATTTTTTCCCCGTACTCCTTGCTTATAACAGTGTTTAAAACTTTCTGTGGAACTTATCAGTTAGGCACGCAATTCCTGTTGAATCTATAGATGCTTGAATGTCCAGCTGTTTGAAATTAGATGGGTGTTAACTTTTATTTTCTCCTATAGTATGGCACGAAAGGAAGGCGAAAACTGAAATTCTATTTGAGATTTCCTTGGATTTTATTTTGTGGATGCACTCTATGATTGCTATCTTCTTGACGTTGGTATTGATTTTCCATATTTCTGTACTCTGATTTAGTTTTTTAAAAACTGAATTTTCCAGTGAAATGAATTTATAAACCTAGCCAAAACTATTCAAGTGGTGCCAAACTAAATTCACCCAAGGAAGAAGCACTTTGTATATGAGGAATTCAAATTGTCAGTATGTTACAAGAATACTTTCTAATTTTTATTCCCAAAGAAATATTCAGTTAGTCCACAAATTCTAGTTTTGGAAATTACCATTCAGAATGATACCAGGTTTGGGTTCTACAGGTATGCCTCTGGTATTCTGTACTTTCTGGCTGTTTTTCCCTGACCAGCCACCACTGCAAACACTCTAGGGTTAAGCTGAACTGGACTTCGTCAGGTCGTGCAGTTGTGAGCAGTAGCATTAGCTGGTACAGCTCTGTGAAGGTGATTTGTGAAAGCTTGTTCAAAGACAATTTTCAGTTGTAGAATATCATGTATAATTTTTTCATGTAAAAAGAAATTACAAGGTAGGACATAACCCTTGGAGGTTGTCATGACCACGAATTCAGTTAATACATCTGTTTTTGTGTTTATTTCCCATATTCATTAACATGTTTTGTTCCTTTGCAATTTACAGCGCAGAACTCTGCAAATGCAGGTTTTGCAAACTTTGATGCATTTGGACAGTCTAGTGGCTCGAGTAATTTTGGAGGTTTCCCCACAGCAAGTCAGTCTTCTTTTCAGCCCCAAAATACAGGTAGAACTCCTAGCACTTTTGATTAATACTTAATTGAAATAATCCTTACCTTTATGTTGGAAGGTACTTGAGTTTTTCTTGCATCTGCCTGCTTTAATGCAATCAAGCCATCTGAAGCTCTGGGGAAACTCAAAATTAATTCCTTCTGTTTGGTTTTGATTTTCTTTTTTTTCTTTCCTGATGCTACTCAGAATTCTGATTTATGGCATTATGTGTTTGTTAGCTCTACACCTGAAACAACTATGAAAAGAGTAAACCATACTGTTTTTGATAAATATTGAATTGACTCTTTATCTTGTAAGAAAAGTGTTTCAGTAGACCCAAAAGCACATCACAGTAACAAAAAAAAGTGTCTGTCGGTGTGTGTGTGTACAACATATGCACACACTTCAGTATGTTTGACTTCATGTGTAGAGCTTATTGCTAAGATTTATTTTGCTTTCCTTTAATTTGATCATGCCTTAGAACTTCTGCTTGAGCTTACACTTGCTGTTTGTCTAGATCTTTGGCTGACTGACTTTCTTTTCCTTTTTTTTTTTCTTTTGAGTGTGGTGTCGTTTTAAACTTTTTTTCAAATTTTCTTTCTCCCCTCTTATGTTAACTTTTTAACCCACACACAATTTCTGGCTGTCCAGCGTTCAGAACGCTTTCATCTAGCTGCAGTTTTGGTGAATTTACTTCAGCTTTTCCTCTCCAGGCTGTACACAGTAAGTTCCACACAGTGGAAAACTCAGCTTGCTTCTTTTTATGCCATTGTAGTATAGCATTTTCATTCCTACTGTTGCATATGTTTTAACTTCTTGATTATGTTGTTAGAAAGTTGCGTGTTCTGTGGTATGAGTGGAATCCTCAACCAACTGTTGTAAAATGCGATACACTTAATGGAACAACTCGTTCAAATTTAAGTATGTGACCTGCCTAGATTTAAATTGTCTGGACACTGAAGAGACGGAAGTTCATGGTTTCATATTTGGACTAAAGTTCAGTTGTGTGGACCTAAGTCAGATTTTAAAAATGGATTTATGTGTATCTGACGTCAGTGGAGATTTGGTATGAAAAGAGCTGTGTTGTGTCTTCCCCTTCACCTCTTTCCTGATTGGATGTAGTCTAAAAATTTGAGAACAGAGAACCAAACTATCTCTCTAAACCTTGGCATGGAATCATACTCCTTTTGGAATTCTAGGCACTTTTTTTGCTTAGAACGATGACTGACATCTGAAATGGTTAAACATTGTACCATTAAGTAAATGCAAATAGTAGCCTATTCATTAGACATGTACAACAGGAAAAGGAAGCTTCTGTATTTTGAATATTAAAGATTCCGACAAATACTTATTTTTCTAGCAAAATATTATTGTTGAAATTACTTTAACAGCTAATAAAATAAATAGCGTAAAGTTTTTCAAGATCAAATTATGACTGTGATTTAAGCTGTTGAAGCTTGGGGGTTTTTTGTCACTGATATCTGCAGACTGAAAAATATAAAAAATTATTTTTTTCTGATGACCCAATGTAACTTTGAAGGAAATGGAAAAGGGTCTTAAACATGTGGGATGGGGTGGGGGAACATGTTGCCTCGTATTCCCACAAAGAGGTGGGATTATTGTGCCATCAGTTACAGTTGGAGAGACTTTCTCTAACTTTAGAGTGTTGATCATGTTTAACTTAATTTGTTACAGGTGGAAGTGCTGGATCAGTGAATGCTAACTTTGCTCACTTTGATAACTTCCCCAAATCCTCCAGTGCTGATTTTGGAGCCTTCAGTGCTTCCCAGAGCAACACAACAGCAACTGCAGCCAGTAGAGCTGCAGTGAATAAACCAAATCTCCAGTCAGCTGACAAATATGCAGCTCTTGCTAATTTAGATAATATCTTCAGCGCAGGGCAAGGTATTAAACTTTATTCTTTGATGTGCTTATTCTACATGTGTATACTTACCACAAGGATGGCTGTGCATGTTGAAATAGTAACCATATTTCAAAATATCCTTTCTTTAAGTTATCAGTAGAATTTCACATCAATGTACCCTTAATGTGCAAGATGTAAGTTTTAAGACTAACACCAAATGGATGTCATCAGAAGACTGCTTTTTGGGAACCTACTTGCTATCAAGATGAATAACTCTTAAGTGGAACTATCTAAATAATTATTACTGCAATAATGAAAATATATAAAAATATAAATATATTTTTTATGTTTGTGCTGAAACCTATAGTGAAGGCTCTTGAATGAAGAGCTACAGTTGTTGCAGAGAACTGCCAGAGTAGCTTTTCCACCTCTCTGCCACAAAAAGATTTGGCTTTAGTTTTTTATAAACTAGTAGCAGTGATACTTGGATTTAGTTGTAAGTTAAGGAGAAAAAAAGTAGTTATTCTGTAACTTTTTTCTTCTCAAATGGTGTATAAAAACTTGTGTTGGTTTGTAATGTAGAGCTTTGTTCTGAAATGGATAATTTGAGGGTATGTATGTTGTTAAATTTTCTAGTTGAAAATGACAGTAGTATCGAGTCATTTTCCAGGGAAACCAGAAGCTCTCTGGAGCTGCCGAATATCTTTAGAAGCATGACACTTTGCTAATAGCTAATGGCTTGTTGAACATTTTTTTTTTCCTGTATGCCCTAGTGCACATCTAATTTTTAAGTCTGAAAATTACACTGTCCATGAACTTTTATTTAGTTCTCAACGTTGGCAGTGCAGAAAGTGAAACCATCTTCATCACTTCTAAGCAGGTTTCTTTCTTTCTAGGTGGTAATGAGCAAGGAAGTGGCTTCAGTACAGTAGTGTCGGCATCAGCAGGTCCTGCATTGTCAGCCCCCAATCAGCCAAGTGCATCTTCAGACAAGTATGCGGCTCTAGCAGAATTAGACAGCGTGTTCAGCTCCACAGCAACCTCTAGTAATGCATATACGTCCACCAGTAACGTTAGCAGGTACTTTTTTGGAAGTAGCTGACTTTCTACATTGACTTCAGCAATACGCAGAAAAGTAGCTCAAAGCTGTTTCTCGATCTGGTTTTATTTCTTATCTAAATGGGGAAATGTTGAATGAGTTTAGAGATACTACTGAAACTGCATTCTTTGTTTTAAATAATAGCAGTACTGTCTGATAGGATATTATAAGATAAAATTAAGAATACTTCCTATCAGCAGAACGTTCTCTGTGTCTTTCTAGTCATTACATGCTAAACCTGTTAGATGGTAACACTTTACTGTACAGAATATTTGCACGCATACTGAAAATCATAGCATCATCCCTGGCAAAAAAAAAAAAAAAAAAAGGTATTTGTAATGTAAATAGTGCCAACCACTTCTTTTTTAGATCATTAAAGTAATAAATACCAAATGCCTGTTATAGCTTTGCTTGGTATTGCAAGTGCTCCTAAAGATTCTGCTTTGCAACCTTTATGCTGATGGCTTCTGTTCAATATTCTTTCTCCTGCTGTTGGTGGAGAGGACTTCTCATTGCTCAGCACTAGTTACAGTCCCTGACCCTGACATCAGGGGCTCAATTCCTGGCATTAATGAATTATATTGCAGTTTGCAAACTGCACATAAGCATTCCTTTTCTATTCTTTTACATGCCAACAATAATTGTAAGTTGTATTTAATTGTTAAATAAGCAATTCTGACTTCACTGAATGTATGAATTATTTTCAGCAATGCTTTTGGAACAGTACCTGTGGCTGCTACTGCACAGACACAGCCTGCATCTTCGAGTGTGCCTGCTCCATTTGGAGGTATATAAGTGTTACTAACACCTTTTGTGGACTGTAAGGAAACATCTTACAAATTTTTAGTTGATAGTGCTATACTTTGACACTAGTGATATTAAAGTTACTAAAGGATGCCAAAAAAGCACTGTTATGCGGTTCAAGTTAAGCATTTTATTATCAATGCCTAATTTTTCATGTAATTTTAGATATTTATGTGTCTGTGTTAAAGCTGCATATACATAATGTGAGTCAGATTGGCTATTTTTAAAAGAATTTATTAAATAAGATGTTTTTAATCTTTCAGCAACACCTTCCACAAATCCATTTGTAGCTGCCCCTGTTGCCCCAGTGGCACCTTCAACAAATCCATTCCAGACCAATAGCCGAGGAGCAACAGGTTAGGAAAAAACACCTGAGTGTTTTGAGAAACTTTCTTTGAAGACTTGCATTGATTCTTTTTTTTTTCATAGTGTGTAATTTGTTCCTTAAAGGTTTTCTGTATTATCTGTCTCTAGTCTATTTGACATGTTGTGTGTGCGTGTGTTCAATGTATATGAATATTTATGAATAGGCTGCAGAAATCAACTTTAACTTTTTTTGGGGGGGGGGGGGGGAATAAGTGATGTTTTTATTGAGCTGAGGACATTAGTTTCCTGTTTCTGTCCCAATCGTAGGATTTCAAATGGTGGCCATGAAAAACGTCAAAATGATCTGTTGAAGATCGTCTAATACTACCCAAGCTATTTGTAGTCTGTGTATTACCAGTTGGGTACCTTCCAAGACTATAACCTTGGCTTTGAAGCATGCTTCATTGCAGGTTGCCCTGAAATCAGGGATCTTGAAAGCCCTGCTGCTAAGCTGGTACACTTGGTTTTTTTCTTTATTTATTTCAAAGTCTTGAAAGCCCTCAAAACCAAAGAGCTGGGGCTAGAACCAGGAAAGACAAGGCTTTGGGGCTGTTAGCTCCTCACCAGTCCTCTTATTCAGTACATTGGTGGTGTCCTTTATTTTTCTCTTTTGTAACAGTAAAGCATATGTTTAAATATAATCTTTACACTCATGATTTACATTAATTTTCTGGGGGAGGATTCTGTAGAATCATAATTACACAGACAAAAACTTAATCACTTTTTAAAAAGCAAACTTGTACTTTTCTTTAAAATGCTGAACTTGGATTTAGATGACTGTTAGATTATGCTAATTTTCCTCTCCAAAGGCACTGCTAAATGTTGGCACTTCTATCTATTAAGCAGACCTCCACAGACTTAAATCTGCTGATGTATGCATTTTAACATTGAGTTGTGCGTTGCTCAAAGTTTTAGGTAGATTTAATTAAACTGATCAGGCTGAGTTAAAACTGAATTGATCAAATTCATGTCCTCTGCTAATTGTGATTATGAACTCTCAATTCTGTTTTCAGTCCCTTTTGATATATTATGCACTTAAACTTATTCAGCTATTTAATGCCCAAAATATCTTTTTCCTTATTTTAATCTCGTTCCTAATTGTGCTATTTCGGATCATCAAGAACTTGTAGCCACTTTAGCTAAATTTGTTTGAATATGGCAACTCTATCCTTCCGCCCTCTAAACTGCTCTCCTTGGCTTGCAGAGGTTCCAAACCTTTGGCAGCTATACTGATGTTATGTGCTAGGTAACAGAGATAATAAGTAAAGATAATATTCTACCCCTTTCAGTGTAAGGTGTAAACCTGTAGCTTGTCCTTTTATGCTTAAGCTTTCTTTCTGCATGAACTTTGCTATTTATTATATAGGAGATCTGTTTTGTAGCATTTGTTTCTAATGGTTTTCTTAGCTTAGTCTATTGCTACTCATGCTATGGACAAATTGTTTCGTACATATATGTGTGTATATTTTTATATATAGATATATAACTAAGAAATGACTGTTCAAGAGTGTATAAATGATTTGACATTGTCTGGTCTCTTTGTGGCTTCCATAAGGCCTCTCGGGAGCAATGCACTCTCACATATTTCCTCAGGCTCATTTTGGTAGGTGGCCACATTTGGTATCAAGTTTCTTGTGGCTAATTGTTCTTGCTTGTAAAAGCTTATTGATAGCTATCTGGTTCTCTGCAAGTAGAATTTCGGAAGACTTTCTGTGTTTTAAAATGGAGTGGGTGTGGGCAAAGGGAGAGAAGAGCATACATAGGCAACCTATTAAGCAACTAAAACAAAACCATTATTGATATCCTCTATGGTCACAATATAATGCTAATAAGTTGAGTGACTCTTGAAGTTTCTACCAACAGTAGCTTGATGCCTTTTGGGATATCCCAAGTCACTGCTCATTTTGTTGTGCTTTTGTTTGCTGTTTTAGCAAGTTTTCCTGTTGAATAGCTTCTCTGCTATCTGTAACTTGAGAACAATGTTAGTACATTAGTTTTGCGTGTACTTTGTCAGCAGTTTATGTATGTATAATGTCTTGCCCTTGAATACTTTTGGGGTAAATTTTTCAACTGATAATTAAGCTATATTCATTAAATATATTATTTTTTTTAACAGTTGAGCTTCCATAAAATCTAACTTGTAACATTTCAAAAGAGAAGTCCGGTCTGATGTTTAGCTAGAATAAAATGTGTGGTGTCTGTATTTGTACCAAAATAATTTCTATATGCTTCTCCTTTCAAGAATAACTCCCAAAAGACTGAATAATGGTTTTGTTACTACGTTTTTGCACTTGATGTGCTCCTGTTTATTTGATGAAGGCATGTGGAATAGCATATGAGCTGTGTGTTCTTTACTTGAAATGTTCAGCAGAGAATCAGATGAAAAGTTTGGGGTTTTTTTTGTTTTAAGTCTTATGTCAACAGTAAGAGCGTTTGCAATAGGAACTTTGTGTGCAAATAATGTGCATGGTGAAAATTTCCTTTAAAGTGACATTAAGGATGGGATGAAGAGAGAGGGGATGCATGTATCCCTTATGACTTTTGACTTCCTGTAATGCAGCTTAAAGTAGGAAGATCCTTTCATGCTTTTCTCAGAACGAGAAAAACAGAGGGGCTTATGCTGCCTGAAAGTGCTTGCTTCTGATGTGTACAGACTTCTACCAGAAGTCTCTGGGGGAGTTATATGATAACGTAGAAAACACAAAAAATAATTTCCTTTTCGGAAAGCATATCTGAATGTGCTAGATCTAGTAAATTTTGAATGATTGCATTAATTTTTAAAGTGCAAAAGTAAATTATGCACCTATTTGGTGGTGATCCAAGCTAACAAATCAGTTCAGTGGCTGTAGAAGTTGAACCTAATTTTTGTATGGTCACTGAGGCATTAGGAGACTTTTCTTAAGATGGCATTATAGTAATTTGTCTCATGAAAAAAGTGATTTCTTACAAATAATTGGATGTTATTTTTTGCCTACCAGCAGCAACATTTGGTACTGCATCCATGAGCATGCCTGCAGGATTTGGAACTCCTGCCTCCTACAGTCTTCCTACTAGTTTTAGTGGCAACTTCCAGCAGCCCACGTTCCCAACCCAGGCAGCTTTCCCTCAACAGACTGCTTTTGCTCAGCAGCCAAATGGTAGGTCTATATGTTTTAAATAATCTTGTTTAAATCAGAAACATGGAGAAAATGATCTGTCTGTAAGTTAACAATAACGGGTGTGTATTTATTTCTATATGAACTTGGTAATAATATTGATGAGGGTTTCCAACACTCTGTTTTGGCTCTGTAGTTGAGCTTTCTGACTTGGCTGTGTGCAGTGACATAACTGAAAGTTTACCATAATCCGATACTAAAATTATAAGTATTCCCAGGCTTAGAGGGCTTTTATGCAAGAAGGATTGTTTTGTCTTCATTTTTGGAGTGTCTGCAACAGATTATAACACTCTCTAACTTAATAGAACACAGGCAAGAGAAAATTGGAAAGTACTTTTTCCCTAAATTTAAATGATAAAATAATATTGAAAAAAGCGCATGTGTAGAAACTGGAAATTGATTAGTTCTGAACAGTTGAAAATAAAACAAACAAAGCTGAGCCATATTTTTTACATTTACATTACTGATAGTGTTTAAGTAGGTTCAGTCCTCCTGATTGTGCAGTCCAAGCTTCCACTTATTTTTGTGTGGGAGCTGCAGCAAAGAACTCTCTGAAGATAGTTTACTAGTATTAATATTTTTCACTTATCTTTCCAAGGAGCAGGTTTTGCTGCATTTGGACAAGCAAAGCCTGTAGTAACTCCTTTTGGACAAGTTGCAGCTGTTGGAGTATCTAGTAACCCTTTTATGGTAAGTGAGTTGTTGCATGATATTAATAACTTCTGTATGTCTGAAGAGGCATAATCTGTAACACTTAATTTAGAGACACACAAAGATTTTTTTTTTTTCTTGCTTCAAATACGGGAAGGCAGCATATGAATCCTAAATGCAATTCATTATTATGATGACATGGCATTTGTAAGGCTGTTCAAATCAAAACAGAGGTACTTGTACACCATGGTCTTACAGTAGTGTAATTTCAGAGAACCACCAAAAAAAAAGACTGCAACATAAACCAGAAATACTTCCTAATAAGTTATTTTCTTTTTTATATATTCTGCATTTATGATTTACAATATGAAAAAAAAATTAAATATTTGTCTTCTTTCATTTTCCCTCAGGCTGGTGCACCAACAGGACAATTTCCAACAGGAAGCTCATCAACCAATCCTTTCTTATAGCCTTATAGACACTTTACCCAAAAGAACTCTTATGTGGTCACATAACATCTCTGCGCCTCTTGCACTGTTGTCTTGTTTCACTGATATTAGCTTTAAACACAAAAGAAGTCTTTAAGAAGTAAAAATAAAAGCCTGCATTGTGTACCTTTAAAAAAATAAAAAATACACAAAACCCAAGAAAATCAACCACCCCACCAGGTAATAACGTGCAAAACAGAGGGCTGTGGTAACATCATTGAACCTGTGAACTGGCAGGTAAAAAGTAGCGGTATCATGTATATTAAAATTGGCTAATAAGTTATTGCAGATACCACATTCATTATGCTGCAGTACTGTACATATTTTTCTTAGAAAATAGCTATTTGTGCATATCAGTATTTGTAACTTTAACACATCGTTATGTGAAAAATGTTACTGGGAAATAGATCAGCCACTTTAAGGTGCTGTTGTATCTCTTGGAATGAATGAGCTACATCATTTTAACCATTGGTATTGGAAGTCATGAAGTTAAATTGAAGGTTTGTTCATTTCTCAAAATGTTTTCCTTTCCTAAGAGCTCTTCTATTTATACATGCCTAAATCTCTAATGTTAGAGGGATACCTGTCTGCATAATAAAGCTGATCATGTTTTGCTACAGTTTGCAGGTGAAAAAAATAAATATTAGAAAAACCAATTGTGTAGCATTATTTCTGTGCAGTAACATTTTATTGGGTTAAAATGTACATATTGTGAGTCTCATACACAGATGAGTTATCAAAAGCAATGTGCTTAAAGGTGAGTTAAGCTTAAAATTTTTGCATGCCTCACTTGGATATGTTTCTTTGTGTCCTTGTGATTAAGCTTGCTCTTCTAGCTCAAGTGAAGTGACCTATTGAACAGGAAAATGTTAAGTGAACTTAGATTATTTTGACAGAATAGGTGTGTAATGAAGGACACTGGAAGCACTGAGGAGTGTAGTTACTCAAGAAATGGTTAGCTGCAAAAGACATGTAATTATGGGTAGCTGATGGCAGTCTTTGAACAAGACTTAGTTGTGATCAGAACAGTATGTGTAACAGCAGGCCAAGGTACCACAGATGTAATAGCACTGTTTTTATTAAAAATTGATATATATTAGTAAGACCTTCTCTGAAATATTAAATTCATCAATTATTTTTTTATTTACGGGAATGTTTCCTCTCATACTAGAATGCAATTTGGGGGGGGAACTCTGGCTTGTCTAGTCTGTAATAGTAAGAAGGTTCGAGAAAAATATAACTCTTCATCAAAGTAGTTGGTGATGGTGTTTTAAATACAGACATAACTTTGCTTAAGTTCAATACTGGAACTAACCAAATAATGTAAATATATCATGAATACATAAACTGCAAGCTTAAAAAAAAAGTTTGACCTGCTGGAAAATAAAATTCTTAACAGCTTTCAAGATATAACAGGATCAGATTATGTCAGGTGATTTTTGAGAAAAGGACGTACAAGCCCATTTGAGACAAATGCGAAAATTCTTGAAGGTAAGACACTTCAGTTGTAATTGATTGCCTGTATGTTAGATCTGCTTATTTCTAGGGGAGCTGAAAGACTTGACCGCTGCTTGTGAAAACACTCTTATGCCAGTGCTTTTGACTTCTTTTGCCTGTCTGTGGGGTGGTAGTAAGTTCTGTATCTTACCTTTTTTTGAAGCTTTGGAGATCCCAAAGCAGGGGACAGGCAGCCTGTACAACAAGCTGCTTATAGTAGAATTTTTCGCTTAACTGTCTGGTTTTGTCCTGTTGGCACATTTGAAGTTAAAACAGACTTGAAGTCTGTCTTTTCCCTATGAGAAGTGCTGGCTAAAGTATGCTGTATGGTTTAATTCCCAAAATTCTCTGGGGAATTCACTAAACAAATCCCCAGCAATTGAGGGTTTCCAGGATGTTAGTGATGCCCTTGCTCTCACCAGTTGTTTTAGCATAGTATAAATAGGTGTAGTTGTTGACCATACCTGTTTTGGGATAGTAACACCTAAATGCAGTAGAGAGTGGGGAACTGCAAGGGTTCGGAAGGATTCGTGGAATGCTTAAATATGCTTATTGCAGGGAACTGGACCAAATCAACCAAACGTCTCCTCAATGAGAAGAGGAACAGCCTTGTGGAAGAACAATCCTGTGCTCCCTTCACCTAAATAAATGTAAATTAAGCTGTGGGCAAGGGCTAATGAGATCAGCATCTATTGAAATTGTTCTGGTCCAAATGAAGCTGATTACTTCTAAGAGATACATGCCTTGCATACTTAAATGAATTTCAGTATGCAAGGCATGTAGTTCTAAATTATGCTGCGAAAATAGTGGAATATCTTATTTTTCATAACTAGCTTGAATGCGGATAAAAAGTTGGCAACTTCTACTCTACGCAACCACATCTGTTTAGTGTATGTTCACTAATTTTAAGTTTGTCAAACTCCAGACAAGTGGCTGAAGATCTTGTATTGGGTCTCCTTTTATATTGAGCAGAAACTTGCACCGTAGCTGTTTTGTTGATTAGATTTTTAAATTAGCTATATTTACAAAATGAATTCTTCACCCATAATTAAATGCTTTGTCTTAGAAACCTCTACAGTTGTTCACGCAATTGCTCATGCAACTAGCACAGTTCCCAAAAAGCTAACTTCCACTAGCCTTCCAGTATCCCCTTCTGCTTTAGCACTAAAGCACTTCACTTGATAACTTTAGCCCTCTTATACAGAAATTAATTTGGAGACGTTCTAGATTAATACTCTTATTCCTAATATGTCAGCTCTTAACGTGTGTAAGAAGATGCTGTAGGAGGTACATCCTGAGTTCTACGAGGCAGATGCGATGCCCAGTTTCTGCAGTTCAAAGTTGTTTAATGGCTACAAACTCCCAAGCATGGTGTTCAAACAAATGCTGAGGCAAGAGATTAATTAGAAAAAGACCAAATTTAGTTGGAATTCCTGAAAGAGAACTATAAGTGTGATGCAAGTATTCTGCTCTCTTGAAGGGAAAATGTATTGAGACATAAAGGCAAGCTCATGCAGCTTTTAAAAGTATGTTTTTAAAGGAATTGATGATTTTTACTTTCTTGTGAGCTGAATTGGGGGAAATATTACTTCTGACTATTGGCAAATCTGTAAGTTGTGGTAAAGGAACACAAGGGAATTTGCTGCTGTCTGATATAGTTGACTCCAAGGTGGACATTATTGAACACAGTTGAAAGAACATTCCCTAATCAGTTTTAGTTATATATAAACTTTAAATATCTAAACTTTAAGTGGTGTTATTTAAGTAAGACTGCCTTGTATAGAAATTGAAGTGTCTCCCCATGGCTTAAAAATAAGAAGTTAGTTTAGGAGGTTTTTTGCTTCCAAAGATAAGTGTGTGGGGGTCATGGCAGTTGTCAGACATAATTAATGCATTTGCTTATCAAGACAGACAGTCAAAGGGGAAGTTAGTGTGTTGTATTCATACATCTTCAACAAAGTCGCAGTAAAGCTGCTGCTGCATCAGTAGCAGTTTATCTGTATATAATGACATGTTTTCCTTACAGTCCTGTAACTTCAGATTTCTGAGGAGCGCATTGTCTGCGTGGAATCTGAAATAACTGCATTTGGCCGCTTGTAAACTAAAGCAGCAGTATTGCTGTGCTATGTAGCATTGTAGTAATCCACCTTTGAACATACAGAAGTAGTGTCTTTTGGAAAAAAATCATTTATTGCTATTTTGTTAACTTGCTTTAAAAATGCATGTCGCAACCTCCAGTTGAAAAGGTCTTTAAGTTTTCAAAAGGTTTCGGTGGCAAGCTTTCCAACAGATCATTTTCCTGCTGTGGGGCAACTGCTTTTTTAGATTCCCTAGTGTCCTGGTTTAACCCCAGCCAGC